TATGATGTGCTGCGCGCTGCAGAAAATTTTCGGAAGATTAGCTGTATCTATGATAGTCTTGGCCTCTGCCTGAATGCTCCTGTCCTGTAAGCCACGGTGTTGTTGTATTTCTTCCATATTTTAGATTTTTTTTCTATTTGTCCATATCTGAAATTGTTGTATTTGGTTTTACTCTGAAATTTTCAAGCCATTGAATCATTGAGTCCAGAGTTTCATTTATCCTTGTAGGTCACCCTCTTAAGCCCATGCCATTTTATCAGGTGCTTAATTAGTTTGAACATTGAAGGCAACATTCTTAAGGACATTATCCCTAACAACTGAAGTCTTTGGAGCAAACTAGACTTCGGAACTCCATTAACAATGTCATAATTTATGAGTAATATTTCCTTGCTGTTTTCTTCGTACTGTTTATAGGTTAAGTTTTTGTCAGTGGAATGGAAAGAAATCTTCACAACTTCACTTTGGTTGTTTAATTCTCTCAAACATGAATGCACCTTGTCTCAAAATGAAAAGAACATGGACCTTTGGTGCTATTTTTGGCATCTTGCAAGCTAGAGATTTAACTCCTAACACGCCTATTTAATATAAAGTAAAAAAGAAGAACGGAATTTTGGACATTTGCTACAATCAGAACATAGTAAAACTGGATAATCCCTGCTTGCTCACAAGGAGCATAGTGTTAATGAACTCTCTCTGAAGTACATTTGATTGCTTGTCTCCAAATGTATCATCTATTGCAGTCCTGATTGAAGTGAGCAAAATTTGAAAGTCAAGACTAATAGCTTTGCGTTCTCCAATCCTAGAAGCACTTTTTTTTTAAATGAAAGTTGAAATGTTTGGCCAAGATTTTTGGAAGAAAAAAAAGTATTTTTGAGGAGAAGCAAAAGCAGAAAAAAGTAGTTCTCTAACAATACTAAAAAGCACTTTTGAGAAAAATATGCAGTTTTTAAAAGTTTGGTCAAACAGTAATTGCTGCTTAGAAGTGTTTTTCAAATTAATTAGCCAAACATAAACTGTTTCTCAATAAAAGTACTGTTGGTACTTTTGAGAAAAAAAAACAAGCATGGCCAAACAGGTTGTAAGTTGTATTATATCTTTTTGCAGTTCCAATCTTCCCACACCTCTTCTCTCGATGTATTTCCTGACTCTATTTTATTTTCAGTCTCTATACTGTCTGCCCTGAAAACGTTGGGTTATAACACAACATTATTACATTCGCTTTTTTAAAAATTTATTTTCATTCCATTATGTACCTTTTAGACTAAGAGGGTAGTTCTTTTCTATTAGTTGGGTGAGGACATGACCCTTGATAGGAGGATGTGGAGGTGGAAGATTAGGTTAGAATGTTAGTAGATAGTCGAGTGTTTCCCTTTGTCTTACTTAGTTCGCTAGCATTAGTATTAGTATGATATCCTTTTATTCATAGATTTCTATCACTACCTAGGGTTTAACTACTTTCTTGACTTCAATCTTATTTTTATCTTGTTGTTGTTCCTACTTGTTGCCATTACTCTTTTTCATACTTTCTCCAGCCGAGGGTCTACCAGAAATAGCATCTCTGCCCTTCTAGGGTAGGGGTAAGGCTGCGTCTATGGTTGTCCAACGGGACGGGACGGGATGACATTTAGCCGGGACGGTGGCAGGACGGGACAAATGGGACGAAACGGTAGGCCCATCCCGTCCCGCTAACAAACGGGACGGGATGGGACGGGTTCACGGGCCTTAAGTGCCTTTTAAAAAAAAAATATTTAAGCATTGAGTTTGGCAACGGATTATTCTTTTTACAATGACTAAGTTTTTAAAGTTTGCAACATCTAATTTTTTGACTTATTTAATAAACTTAAAAATTAAACGGAAATTAGGAAATTAAGTAAAGAATTATAAAATATTAAAACAAAAGACTTGTAATGAAATATTCTAGTAATTATAAATTTATAATAGAGTGATAATTTATTTAATATAATTTCAAGCCATTAAGTAACTAAGTAAGAGTGTAAGACAATTCATAAAAAAAATTCAACGCTTAGAGCCTTTTATTTTATTAATAGAACTTTCAAATCTCACATACAAATATAATTCTTTTGAAGAGCACCTAATCTACGCAGCCACCTTCTAGGAAGGGTTCTGTTTGAACTAGGCCTCTTAGTAGCCAATTACAAATTATCATACTAATATTTGTAAGCTCCTATATAACTTCGTTGTAACTTATCTATAATTTCTCTCGGACATTGTTCTGGAATTGGCAATGTTGATTGATGTTCCATGAGTTCCATGCCGTCATCGCTCCCAGTGCTAAGTATCTCATTGTATTCTTCTTCTTCCCTAGTGGTTAATTTTTCAAAACCAAGATTTCTTCTTTCTGAATTAATCCAATCTCTGAATAATACGGAAATCTCTAGGCTGTCCTCCGCTAATGAATGTCTATGATCTCCGATTTGAAATCTTGCCGCGCTAAAAGCACTCTCCGATGCTACTGATGATGCTTGAATAACAAGGATATCTCGGGCCATTATTGAAAGTGTTGGAAAAGCCTTCCCACGCTCCCTCCACCATGCCAAAAGTTATTCGTTGCCTTCTTCGTCTTTAATACTTTCCAATCCTCGATTAACATACGAATCAAGTTCATCATCAATAGAGGAATCAAAACCTGTCATATCATCCATATCTTCCCATAGAACTTCTACTCTAGACTTAGAAGTAGAAGGAGCAGTTTCACCACCTGTTGTTTACATAGATTTATATTTATCAAACATTGATCTAATATAATAATATATGTTAGATTGGCATTCTTCGAGAGATGGTTGTTCATTTTCTTGAATTGCTAAATTCTCATAAATTTTACGAACAAGTCCCTTTGCACCTCTTAATTTTAAAGATGAGTTAAGTATAGTAGAAATTCAATAAACTTGGGGAATAGGGAAAAAATACTTTTTAAATTTTGCAATCATTTCATTAATGGCCGGTGCATAAGTTGGATTAGTTTTATACTTACCAAATACAACAGAAAATTCCACAAATATACCATAATATTTGTGTAATAGTAGGATAATATATACCAGAAAATTATTTTGTAGCATAATAAAAATTTTCTAAAATTTTAGTAAGCTCTTTGATTAATCCCAATCAGAATCAACAATTTGATCAGCGGGACGGGACGAAATGGCCATCCCGTTTAACATGGGCCCATCCCGTGTCCCGTTTAACATGGGCCCATCCCGTTTAAAATTAAGTGGGACGGGACGGGACGGGACGGCCCGTCCCGTTGGACAACCTTAGCTGCGTCCCAGACCCCACTTATGGGAAATCACTGGGTTTTGTTGTTTGTTTGTTGTTTGGTCTTTCCTAGTTCCTACGTTACCATGTTCAGGAAAACATGATTCTTGCTTCTGTACATTTGAAAAGTCAAGTTAGGCTGACGCTTGGTCAACCATCTTTTCTAGTTTGATTCATCGATCTTCAATTTTCAAAGGCCTATAATAGGCCGCCTATTAAAGAGTTTGTCTTCGGCCGCCAATTAAAAGAATTGCAATGTGCATTCTAATAATGTATGGTAGGAAATTGAAGGAACAACTCAGAATGGGTAACATAGAAGATTTTCCCTAGCTTGTTTCTAGGTTTGGTGTATAAACAATAAAACAAACACTTCAAGGTATAAGGTATAGAGAACTTGGTTTGTCGACCCCGATTATAGAAAATTATTCATCTAATTGCTTATCCTTCTCTCTTTTACGAATTGTAATTTGCCACGTTTTAATAAATTCATGAGTTGGTCGTCTTTAAGCTCTAAATCCTGAAGTAAAGAAAAATAGTAAAGAAGAGGGGGTGAAACAAGAGTAACACCCACGAATCAAGTACATTCCTTCTAGGTTAATGGTAGAAGCATTGACTAGCCAGTTAAGGACTACTTGGACCTTCTTTGATCAATTTAGTGTTTCCGTTCAACCTTTTTACTGAGTCAAGGCTGCTGACATTTAAGACTGCATGTGTTTAACATCAACGAGGAGGTTTATGTCAACATAAAAGACTTGAAAACTCTAGAATAGAATTGGAGAACGACCACGTCTTTGAAATATTCATTTATTTCATAGCCAAAATCACTGACCAACAAGACCTGGGGACGACTAGTGCAACGAGTTCTATGTCAACATGGATGACATGTGTGATGTCCATGACGGAGGGCGGGCGGGCTGATGAGGGTTGGTCAAGTTGGACTGATCAACTTCTAGGCTGGCAAGCTTCTGAAGAAGGCGTACACAGAATCCCACATCGGAATGAGAGGGGAAAGTGACGTACTTTATAAGACATAACACAAGTTCACATGGTAAGCGCGCTTTTGAGCTCGATGATGGCGTAACCTGAAAGAAAAATACCTAGATTTAAAGGGGACAATACGTGCCATGAACTTTGGATAATGACAACATGAAACTCTAGAATACAAACATTTTCACCACATTTTATCACTTAACTATAACTATGACAAAATTAATATAGTTGCGTAAACATCGATTATGAACGAGATATTCCAACTAGTAGTACTTTCCAATTGGAAAGCAATCAAAGACGAGAATACTTTCTTAACCTTTTAGTTAATTTCCTTTAATTCATCAAAATTAAACTACCATTCCATTTATTTATTTATTTATTTATTTTCATTCACTTTCTGCCCTACTACGGATTTTAAAGAAACGCCTCATAATACAGAGAAGGAAAAACGACTCCTTTTGAGTTTTGACTAGAAAGAATAATAATACACATAAACATCCAGCCTATATGTACTTTTCCTTTCTCTTCTTTCAGAAAAAATTCAAATAAATTAAGAATTTCAAACAAGGGTCAAGTTGTTGACGAAATTCAAGATTCATGTTACACTCTAGGTGATATCTATAGGTGACTTGCCAAAGTTTATATGCTAAATTGTTATCAAAAAAGGAAAACACACCACCAATTACCTTAAAATTAGAGTAGTTCCGAAGCAATGCAATGAACACCAAGCACAGAAATATAAGCAAAATTAGCTGTTATTTTAAACGGGATAAATTGCTGAATCCACATTTCAGTCTATACAATCAACCATAAAAGTTTACGTTCTACCACACTAGAATTAGAAGACAATGGAAGAAGGCTGGATAACGTTTACCATCTTCGTAGTCTAGCATTCTAACGGAGAAAATATAAAAAGATAATAGCAGTATCAACTCCTGTTTACCCATCCGAACTGCAATTATTTACTGTAGATGTTACAATGCACTGCCAAATAGGGTACACCAGTGAGAAAAGACAAATCCATTTGTAGTTACTTTTTTTGCCACCACCCAGCTACCGCGATAATATTTGCGCAAGGCATGGCATGATTCCAAGCAGAACCCAGTATCAGCAAGAAATTTCAGTCCATATCAAGGAATTCCATCCTCTTTCTCATTGAACCTTTAAGATCTGTCGCCTCCCTTTCTGCTTTTTGGGCCTGGTGGATATAGACAGATGCATTATTCATAACGAGAGTTAGACAGAACCAAACAGATTAAAACTCGGATCATATCCAGATAATACACATGTAAAGCAGATATAAAATTAAAGGAAATGGAGCAAACATTATCATACTATACTATTCCTTTGATTTTTGGATAACAAGGTACTTTATATAATTCATGAGTTTCAAGAAAAGAAGTTAATTATGGAATGCAAGCTTTTTACTATATCTTGCCAATAGTGTGGTAGACCTATTCGCTTCCTGGATAGTGGTGGTTCGCGGGCGGGGGAGGGGTGTGCGGAATTTTGTGATATCAAATATCTGTATGTTATCATTTAATAGGTTCCAACATCCTATCAGTATAGCAAGTGATTTTATTAAAAGAAGAAGGGGTCATGCAGACAGACAAGAAGTGCAAAAGTACAATAGAAGGCTCTGGTCAACAACTTAAGCAACATGCAAATAAACCAGAGGCCAACAGACTTTTGACAGCTAGTGTTCCCGTAATAACAAGCTAAAATGATTCATGGATGCAGAATTCTCAATAAAAGATCAATCAAGCCCATTTTCAGAGACACTAAATAAGAGTTGGTGATTATTATAGAGCACTAAATACAAAATTTCCTTCTTCAATAACCCTACATTGTTAGAAGTATGTTCATATAAAAGGGACAACATTAAAGTAAAACCGCAGAATAACTCCCTTCATATTTTATTAGTCTTTTGGGAGTGGCAGGGGGCATTCCAACTTCTGATTTAATAAATTTTACTTATATGACACTAACTTCTCATAGACAATTTTTCAGAGAAATTGACAATTAAAAAGCTCTCTACCTGTACAAGGTAGGGGTAAAGCTGCGTACACACTACCCTCCCCAGACCCCTACTTGTGGAATTACACTGGGTCTGTTGTTGTTGTTGTTGTTGACAAAGTTAACATTAAAGAACCTGCTGAGACAGACCCTTCTAGTTCTGATATTTGCAAACCAAAAATTATATGACGGATTTAATCAGACTGAACACGTGCAAAATGGAATAAGGTTACTGATATGTAGTAAGACCAACACCAACTTGAAGCCCAACATGATTAAAAGATTTCAAATTTACAGTAGGGTATATTCACATCTTCCCTAAGAATCAAGAGTCAGATTAGGAGTTAAAAAATGTTAGGAAAAATATAAACCTAAAGTTGCAGCAGAGACAGATAGTGGACCCAAGGCATTCTCATGTTCCAATATGACCATTAAGCATCTAATTAGTCAAACGAAGAGCAATGGGATCATACCCTTCTTATCTCTGCTTCAGGAACACGAGTCATGTGGGGTGGAAGTTCCTCCTTATCTACGTCCTTATCAGTCAGAAGAAAATCTATGAGGCAAAAGGGTGCAGGAATATAAAATAAAAAACAATCTTGCTTTCAAAGAAATTGGAGAGAGAGAGAGAGAGCAATGCATACCAACTCGCCAATTAACACGACATTTTCCCCACGGATAATATAAAGACCCAATGGAATATCACAGTATAGATCACCAACAATAACACGATCACATGCCCCTTCTAGGACAGCATTAGCTACAAATTACAGAGCATTTCTTTCAGCTGGTTAATTATTACTGTAAAACTGAAGTGATGACAAGAGAAACCTACCAAATTGGTCAAAAGAACGAAGTGTTCCCAAAAGCTTTCGCCCATCTCTCAGCAACACAAGAAGTTTTTCTGTGAAGGATATTCAGTCAAAACAAGAAAAGAAAGAAATGGAGCCTAGGGAGCTAAAACCAGGTTAGGTCATGCTATAAAACTATGACAACATTAACTTGTATGCTGTTTGTTTTTTACAAGTAGTAATATGAATCCTCCCAGCCTAAAGCTTTTGTGAGCAGCTTTCCCCACTTCACGTTTTGCCCCCGAACGAAAACATAGATGCTACCACCTGTTACTAACTAATTCTGTCAAGGATGTAAATATCAAATTCTTAAGAATAGAGGAATATATCTCCATGTAGATCAGTACTTGCAAACAGTCTATGATTCATAGCCTTACAGAAAATGAAAAATCAGTATGAAAAACTGCTTAATAACAGGTGTATGAGTTTCTTGAAGTAGTGTTCAACATTTTACTAGGAAAATACCCCTCCCCCGGGGGATAACAAACAATGTCGGGAATCCAAACTAGAGTAAGAATTTGGAGAAGTAAATGTGAAAGCAATAACAATAAGGAATTGAACAACTAGAATTAAAGTGTAGAAAATAAACGATATAGAAAAATTCAAGGAAAGAATTCCAAGAACGCAAGTTCCAAACAACAACGTTTTGATTTATTGAAAAATCAAACGGATTTACTTAAAAACAAATCAAAACAATAGATTCGGATCTTGACCGCTTTACGAGTAACTTGAGACAACAGCTAATAACTAGTATTAATCGCCTTCTAGGAATACCACAAAAAAATCAATGATATCACAATAAAGAAGTTATCTTACTACCTTGAACTAGTAAACGTTGAAAGATAAATCTAAAAACATAAGTAACAAAGGTTCAAAAGAATTCTCAAAGTATAATATTCTTAATCAATAATGAAGTGCCACAATGAATGAAAAGAACTCTTATTTATAGGAGTAAAAAGTCCTTAAAATTAGGTATGGTAGCTGCCAAGACAAAATTAGGTAGGGAGGCTAAGCTAAATACTAGAAAATCTAATACAAACTAATAAAAATAAGTCCCCTTTTGGACCTCTTTTAAGCTCTTCTGGGTGCCCGATTTTGTGACCCAATCTTCCTCCTCTTGGACTTCAATTTGGCCACCAAATAATTGTAAAACTTGGACAATTCATCTCCTTTGAGATTGAGCTTGGTCGATACTTTACCGTTATCTTGTTGATTGCTCTACAATCTACGCACATCCTCCAAGTTCCATCCTTTTTGGGTACCAATAGGATGGGAACAAAGCAAGGGCTCATACTCTCTCTCACAAAGCCTTTCTAAACTTGCCTTTGAAGCTCTTTTGTCTCTTCTGGATTACTTCTATATGCAGCCCTATTTGGGATTTATGATTCAGGCACAAAATCAATTTGATGTTCAATGCCACGTAAAGGTGGCAATCCATTAGGAATATCTTCAGGAACGACATCTTCAAAATCCTGCAAAAGAGAAGAAATACTACTTTGACAAAGAGGAAGTTAGTAACTCAGAATTCATCAAAGCTTCTTTGTAAGTAAGTAGCATTATGGGCAACTCTTCTTTTCTTGCATCTAAACACTCTTTGGCTTTTATATAGAAACTATCTTTTTTTCTTTTCCTTAGCCTCTTTCCTCTCACCGGGACTTTCTATTTTTTCATTCAAACCCCTTTTTATCTCCTCTCAAATTGATGCCCTCTCTCTTTTTTTCTAACTCTTGGCCTGCTTTCTTTTCCCTCAAGCTCACTTTTTATCCCTCCTCTTGGTTTTCCCATAATCTATTTTGATCTTCAAACACTTGAGAAGAAGATAAAGGTGCAAAAGTAAATTTCCAGCCATTTAGCTCAAGAGAATATCTATTCTTCATTCCATCATGAAAAACATTCTTATCATACTGCCAAGGACGACCCAGTAAGATATGACAAGCTTGCATAGGGATTATGTCACAAAAATATCATCCTCATATCTACCAACATTGAATGAGATCATGCATTGTTTGTTTACCACTATCATTTAACCATTGGAATTTATAGGGAATAGGGTGTTTCATGCATGCAAGTCCCAGTTTTTCCACAAAGTATGAACTCTCCACATAGCATAACTATCACTATCATAGAACAAGTTTTCCTTTTTATCCCACACCTAGTATGAAATATATTCTCCCTTTGTTCTTCACTATTGCTTCGCAAATTGATAGTCATAATCCTCCTAACTACCCCAATCATGCCATCATTAAAAGGTAATTTCGCTTCATCTTCACTCACACCCCGCTCATCTTCCTAACTCGTATTCTCCACTCATAATTTTCCTAGCTACCCCAATCATACCAACATGAGGTAGTTCTATATCATCTTCATCCCCTTCACTCTCATACCCTCCATCTTCTCTAAGATTGATGTTTCTTCTACTTGGACATTCATGCGTCATATGTCCTTCATTTACATTTATGACATTGAATAGAACTAGAAGGTGTAAAAGGTTTTACCTCTCTCTTTGTTCTCAAATTTACCTTTATCCTTGTCTTCTTGAGGTCTAGAAGAACTCTTCATCTATTGATTCGGCCATGGCTTCTTGGAGATGGTGTTTGACCGACCTTTCCACGAGTTAGTTTGCTTTCTTTTGATTTTCTACCTTTACAGACAAATAAACTAACTCATATATTGTTGTAATTCTACTACATCAGCTATTTCCTTATTTAAAACCTAGTCATTGTAGCCATACAATTAGCTTGGATCATAGTCATATCCATAGCCAAAGTATTCATCCACAGACATGGACCATTGCTTCAATGTTTGAAGACATTGTTGTAGCTCTCTTTGAAAGTGTGATGGCACGAATCTCTTCCTCATCATCTCGGCCCAAGTAGCAATTGGTGGTTGTCCTTCTTGCAATATGTCCCTAGTAAGCTTTTTCCACCAAATAGCAGCATAGTTAGAAAACTCAACAACAACAAGTTTAACCTTTTTACTCTCAAAGTAGGTGTGACAGTCAAAGATGGCTTCAACCTTTCTCTCCCAATCAAGGTACAAGTTTGGATCCCTTGAAAGATGGCATCTTCATCTTTATACTACTTATATTATCATCTTCTACTCTACCTCTTTGTCCCCTCTTATCTCTTCCCACCCTATCAAAATCAATATCATCTATAGGGTTTTCTTGATTTACAATGGGAGCAAGGGGTACATTTCTCCTAGCTTGGGGCCTAACATTAACTTCCCTCCTAAGTTCAGCTATTGTATCATTTTGATCATTAATGATGTCCCTCGTCTCTTGGAGTTGTAAATTCCACCTTTCGAATTGTTGATGCATAGCTTGCAAGGTAAAATCATTTCTTGCTTTGATTTCGGCTTCTCGGAGAACCCTTCGTTCATCATCACTACTTGTACGCGACATCTTAAATAATTAAATTGTATCATATAAATTGGCTTTTTCCTTAATTGTTCTCACACACACTTTGCCTTTTTTCCTCTCGAAATAACCTTTGAACAAAATACTTTGTAAATTTATAATTAAAAACTCATACTTAGTAGTAAAATATAGATTTTTGGGGAATGAATGAAAAAAGAACCAAATCCTAGAACTATTAGGCTCGGTTGAAACACGTACTGTAGCATCGTGAATAGTAACTTGAAAAGAAAAGAGTTTAAAAGAAGCAACAAAAAAAAAACGAAAATGAGTTTTAAAAAAAAAAAGAATTGTTCGCTCTCCAAGAAATTTCTTTTGTATCTAATTTGTTTCCAAAAACTAACAAAGGAAACAAGAAGAAGGGATCCTAGATTTCAAACATAAGAAAAAAATTCAATTTTTCTTACTTTCTAATCTAAATATATATTTTTTTCTTTTTTGTTCGTGTCTTGTTTCAACTAAGCCTACTAGTTCTAGGACTTGGTTCTTCTCTCATTCGTTCCCCAAAAATCTACATTTTACTACTAAGAACTTCATACGAGTTGGGTTTAACTATAAATCTACAAAGTATTTTGTTCAAAGGTTATTTCGAGAGGAAAAAAGGCAAAGGCAAGTGTGTGAGAAGAATTGAGGGAAAAGCCAATTTGTGTGATACAGTTTAATTATTTAAGATGTCGCGTACAGGTAGTGATGATGAACAAAGGGTTCTCCAAGAAGCCGAAATCAAAGCAAGAAATGATTTTACCTTACAAGCTATGCATCAACAATTCGAAAGGTGAAATTTGCAATTTCAAGAGATGAGAGACACCATTGCTGAGCAAAATGATACAATAGCTGAACGTAGGAGGGAAAATAATGGTAGGCCCCAAGCTAGGAGAAACGTACCCTTGCTCCCATTGTAAATCAAGAAAACCCTATAGATGATTTTAATGATAATGATTTTGATAGGGTGGGAAGAGATAAGAGGGGACAAAGAGGTAGAGTAGAAGATGATACTATAAGTAGTATAAAGATGAAGATGCCATCTTTCAAGGGACAAGGGATCCAGACTTGTATCTTGATTGAGAGAGGAAGGTTGAAGCCATCTTTGACTGTCACAATTACTTTGAGAGTAAAGAGGTTAAACTTGTTGTTGTTGAGTTTTTTAACTATGCTGCTATTTGGTGGAAAAAGCTTATTAGGGAGATATTGCAAGAAGGACAAGCACCAATTGCTACTTGGGCTGAGATGATGAGGAAGAGATTCGTGCCATCACACTTTCAAAGAGAGCTACAACAATGTCTTCAAACATTGAAGCAAGGGTCTATGTCTGTGGATGAATACTTTAAGGCTATGGATATGGCTATGATCCAAGCTAATTATATGGAGGAAAAAGAGGCTACAATGGCTAGGTTTTAAATAAGGAAATAGCTGATGTAGTAGAATTACAACAATATATGAGTTAGTTTATTTGTCTGTAAAGGTAGAAAATCAAAAGAAAGCAAACTAACTCGTGGAAAGGTCGGTCAAACACCATCTCCAAGAAGCCATGGCCGAATCAATAGATGAAGAGTTCTTCTAGACCTCAAGAAGACAAGGATAAAGGTAAATTTGAGAACAAAGAGAGAGGTAAAACCTTTTACACCTTCTAGTTCTATT